GATTGAACAAAAAATATCACCAACTGTAAAGGTTTAATCATTTTTATTCTGGAAATGATTGATTAAATGCAATGAAACGCTAACAAAGCATAACACAACTAGTTTATTTTTGCCATTTTCTTTGTGCTGGTGACACTCGATCCTCTTTCTATTACATTATCTAGCCAAGAACACAGAGAAACGAGGAAGAACTGAAAATAACATCGAGAGGAATCAGTGAAAGTCATCAATCAGGATATTATTCTATTTAAAACAACCCTTTTATCCACTTTAATAAACCACAGGACCTTATCAAACAGGTGTTCAGTGTGAATTCCTCTCACTGTGTCCTGCATGTAAACAAAACATCTGATTGGTGGGAAAATAAATATAGGGGTAGTGCTCAGCCAATCAGAAAAGCGCCTTTGTTCAGAGTCGAAAATTGAGCACTTGAAGCTCAACTGTTGCCTAGAGACACATTTCAGCCAATTACAGTGGGGAGAAAATAGGTGATAATGTCAATAGTGTGTGGGCGAGAAGTGAGAAAAAGTGCATGTGATTGTACACGTGTTGAAGAGATGTAGACACAGAATTGTAAATATGTGTTTTTCTTTTTTCATCCTCCTTCTTCTTCTTCATGTGAGCAGCTTTCTTTGAATGTCCTGTAATGTGTGTGTGTGTGTGTGAGTGTGTGTACCTGGGGGGTATACTACGAAGCAGGATGTTCTCTTAGCGGCTAACTTCAGGGAAAACTCTGGGTTTCCGGTCCTACGACGCTGGTTCTCTTTTTAGCGGCTAGATCTCCATGGTAACTCATGCTGAACGGCTAACCTGCTCCGGAGCAGGTTAGGTTGCAGGCTAAGAGATCAACTCAGTGAAAGCACTGCCTGCTGACCAATCAGAGCTCAGTGTGCGGAGTTTAAAGCGATCAAGTCATATTACAGGAGAAAGGAAATACAGAAAAGCTGCCGTCGCAGGAAAGACGGCCGGCAACAATCAGCGACTGTGTGAACGTGAACATGAATAGAATATCAGCTCCATCTTCAGAGCAATCTGACTATTATAACATTAGCGTTAAGAAAGCTTACTTAAATATCTGCCACAACATAAGTAACCGGATCAGAGTCACGTTAAGTACAGTCCATATCACTTCATAATGTATCATCTAGCTCCTGATCTGAGTCAGCTGAGCCGTATCTGGCCGTGCAACACTCACAGCGTCACAGACTGGATGCAGAAGTATTATTTTAAGCAACACATTAAGTTGAGGAAACACTCGAGACAAATGTAATTAAAGTCAGATCGTGTCTTAGACGGGCAGTGATATCATAAACCTGTTAATGTACGCATTCAAACACTTGTTCTGTTCCCAGCTGTATTCACCTTGCAGGTGCAGCTCTGTGGCTTTGATCCTGGATCAAGTGTTTGAGTCATGGATGTTTAAAGTTTAACTTCTTCATATGTCTAATATTATAGTTGACTTTTCATTCAGGAAGTATGACGCTGCGCTGTCATGTTTGTGATTGGTAAAATGCTCCAGATACCACCCCTTTCATGTGAACGCGCACCTAACTAGATAGGACACGGCTGGCTTGAACGATCCACTTGATAACCCGTGTCGTAGTACCGTTTAGCGAGAGCGCGTATGTTTTGGATTAGGCCAATCGGCTAACTCAAACATATCCAGGTTAGGTTGAACTGGCTTCGTAGTACAGGCCTCTGGTCAAAGAGGCTGTGGACCTGTGTGTGTGTGTGTGTGTGTGTGTACATATAGGCTCTAGGTGAATAGAAATATCTCTTGGAAGTAAGTATTTAAAAGTATTAGTATTGTGTTATTCTATATTCTCTGTGCTCCTTGTACAGCACTTTGGCCAACTGAGGTTTTACCCATCAGTCACTGCACAAACACACTCTAGCCGCTTTCACACCGCAGGACTTGCCGTACTTTAGTGCCGGCACTAAAGTACCACGGCACTGAATCCGCCAGGGGGCTAGTGCCAATCGCATTCACACCGCAGTACTTTCCCTGAGGCAAGATTACGCTGACGTCACTTCGTCTTCTTCTTCTCTGGGTTTACTGGCAGGCCGCAAAACCACTTCACGGCAGGTACAACAAAAAACGAGAGAAGAAGAACTACACGGGGGAGGGGGTATAAAGCCCACCCGCTGTATGAGGCGTTTGTTTACTTTCCGACCTCAGACATGATGGAGTTCATAAGGGTAATTTACAAATAAAATACCCCATTATAACAATGGACTTTATCTTTATGTATTTATTATATATTACCCCCTCAGGCTGATTTTGGAAAAGGACATTAACCCTTGTTTGGTGTTTTTCCCTTATTTATCCAAAACAAATGACATGATAAATGACTTGTGTTTCTGTGTGTAAGACTTGTGTTTCTGCCATTGCTGCACAAGGTTGCAACATTGTAGATAAATTCAACCACCGACACCTGTCTGCTCTCACATTCTTCTATTCTGCAAATTTGGGGGTGGGACACAATAAATAAAGCTTCGCCAGTTTGTTTGTTTTATTGCACAGTCAAGACATAACAATAACGGCATCATGCTGTTCCTGGGGGGTATACTACGAAGCAGGATTTTCTCTTAGCGGCTAAATTCAGGGAAAACTCCGGCTTTCCGGTCCTACGAAGCTGGTTCTCTTTTTAGCAGGCTAGATCTCCATGGTAACTTATGCTTAGCGGCTAACCTGGTCGGGACCAGGTTAGGTTGCAGGCTAAGTTGACTTTTCATTCAGGAAGTATGACGCTGCGGTGTCAGTGCGCTTCTCCATGTTTGTGATTGGTCGAATGCTCCAGATACCACCCCTTTCATGTGAACGCGCAACTAACTAGATAGGACACGGCTGGCTTGAGCGATCCACTTGATAACCCGCGTCGTAGGACAGTTTAGCGAGAGCGCGTATGTTTTGGATTAGGCCAACCGGCTAACTCAAACATATCCAGGTTAGGTTGAACCAGCTTCGTAGTATAGGCCCCAGGTGTGTCGTATGCATGTAAATTGAAGTTAAATAAAAGTGTGAAATGTAAAGTAAAGTGTAAGTAGTTTCAAAACAATGTAACAGTGGCAATATATATAGCAGCAGACACACCTTAGTGCAAGTTAGGTGTCAGTATTAAAAAACAGTGGCAATATATATATATAATAACAATAGAAAATCGTTACCACTCTTATTATTGTGGTCTTTAATTTTGTTATAGTCCTGCCTGAGTTTCTTTATTTTTACCCGGCATCCGTGTGCACTGTGCACGATTCTCAGCTCAAGTAGCTTTTGCGAACATCGCTCAAAACATTTGGAGTTGGGAACTGGTGTTGTAGTACGTGTGGTCATAACTGCTTTAAAGTACAAAACAACTACTCGCTCAGGTGTGGATGTGGTTTTGTAGCGAGGAAAAAAATGGCTGCCTAACAAAAAAAAATCAGAGTCTAACGGGGCGTGGTTTGCAATTCGCCCAGCCAATAGAAATAGAATAGAAATTGGCACTCTTTTATCACCAGGTTCGTACCACTTCTCTAGCAGGGACTGAAAATGGCCAAAAGAGTTCCCGGCACTAAGTAGTCCCGGCGGTGTGAACGCGACATTATTGGTACTAACGGAACTAAAGAACCAAAGTACCAGGGAAAGTCCTGCGGTGTGAATGCGGCTTATGTTTTAAACAACGATATATTGGTCCTGTAGTAAGACACTAGTTAAAATATTGGGACCTCAGGGATATATTTCAATTTGAATTTATTAAAAATATGATTTATTTGGGGTAGCAACACTGAGTTTTGCTAGCCAAGTCAATCAAAAAAGCTCCTTGAGTTTCTCTCTGCTGTTCAGTTTGCTCTCCCTGGCATCGACTTCGGTTCGAAATCTGTTTCGTCTCCGCGTGGACGGGGCCTTATTTTCATCTAAAGTAACAGACAGAAAATCAGCACTTTGGAAACAGGGCTGAAACAGACAGTGGCGTTTTCTCCCGGAGGCCAAGGGAAGCCAGGCTTCCCCTATTTTTTTCGGATTGTAGTTATCATTTTAATAAATAAATAAAAACACTTTGTTTAGTTTCAGAAATTCTTTGTTGTGTGTTGCTGCCGGCCCGTCTCTCCCCCATTCTCATTGAGTATTTTACAAATAGTGAAACAGCGCCCCTCTAGATGTTATGGTAAAACAGTAGATTGCACTCTCTGCTGCGAGAGGAGGCTAGCCGAAATTGGCTTCCCTTGGTGAAAAAAAAGGAGGGATTGACCAATCAGATGAGGCTCACGTGATGCCCCTGCCAACCTGTGATTGGTCAGGGCCATGCCAAGGGAAGCCAGAGGCGGCTGGCTTCCCTTGCCTCACAATCCAATCAAATCGCATCAACTTAGTGTTGCAGTGACGCGTCCTAAAACCCGGAAGTAAGCTGCGCTCGGTTTCCCTCGACAGAAAGCAATGGGATTTCTCCATAGGATTTAGGAAAATAACTGGAAATAAGGTCAGTGGAAAACAAACCTGTTAGATAAATGCAAGTTTTGTTCAGCCGGATAATATCCACATGTCTACCCTACTTTTATAATTTTCGAATCATAAATCTAATCAATAGAAGATAGATAGCGTCACTGCACCACTCTCACCGCCGTTAGAAAGTAGCAAGCAACTGAAGCAAGTGCAATTATGGAGGGTGGAGATTTGGAGTATTTAATCAAAAATAATTGTACTAAACTTCCGTTACAGCAGCAACAACAAGAAATACAATCTGATGACAGGCCAATGCCCAAACTGGAGCTGTGTACAGCGAGGAACAAAGGAGCGAATCGGACGTAAAACGTTAAAGGTCTCCTGATTTAGTTTGTGAATGAATGCTTATTAGAGTTTCGTGTGGAGAGTGCGTGCGGACCTGTCGGTTAGATAACAGGCGTGTGTAAGTCCTGCATCTGATACAAATGTGTGTAAAATGATACCGGGTGCTGTAATCACTCATCTGGTTGCGTTATTACATTGACCACCATGCACACACAAGAAAGGACGTATTATTGGCTTCCCCTAATTTTTTCCCCCACGCCACGCTACTGGAAACAGAGGGGATTATGGGTAATGCTGCAATGATCTGTTGGTGTTTCAGCCAATCAGAGACAGGCTCTGGATATATCTGAGACCTGTGATATATTGATGAACAACAGTATAATAGGAGACCTTTAAGAAGTGGACTGCACCTTTTCCACTTTTGACAATGTGACGGGTATCTCCCCTTTTTCAACACCTGTTGGATTAGTGACCACGTCCACGTTTAGGTCTCTAAATCCCCTCCATTTGGACCCCAAATCCCCTCTTCGTTCCCCCTGTTTATAGAACAGCTTCTCCTTCAAGTTAGCTTTCCTCTGGAGGATCCAAACAAAAACCCCCATCACTAACAGAGCTGAACCCAGACAGGAGAGCCATATCCCTGCCGTGGAGCTGATATTCAGGCTTTTGTTGAAACTGACCGCCTGTTTGTCCACGAAGAACAAGTCTCCTTCTCCGAATGACTCCATTTTATGGGGAGTTGAATAACCGACAGACAGAGAAGTGATGCCTGCAGTCAGGAGGAGGAAACTGAAGGCCATGGACACCTGGGAGGGAGAGAGAGATGTTTATTTACTCTACTATTTCAACAATCAGACAGTTTATACATCCGAAAAACAAACAACATTAGTAGAAGCAGTACAAAAGTAATGTGTATTGATAGGAACCAGGTGGGGATAAATGTGCAGCTCTGGTCCCTTTTCTTCTAGAGGTGGCTCTATTTGTTCGGTGCTCTTTACGTCTCGTTAGGAAAGGTGTCTGTGTTGTGTGTGATGCAGTTTTTAACATAAAGAAATAAGGACAGCAAAATGCGCACCCCAAAATAGATAAATGTTCATTATTTGTTGTATTAAGAGTAGGGGTGTAACGGTATCCGTATTCGTCCCGTCACATATTTTGACATCAGGAGATGTTATACAGTTCTGTATTGCCTTTTATTGATTGTGATTGAAACACTTTCTTATTATTTATTTAAATATTTTCAAGACATTCTTTTTGAACCTTTTTGTTTGCCATCAGCCATTATAAATAATATGGCCATCTGAGTGTGTGTGTGTGTGTGTGTGTGTGTGTGTGTTACTGTTTGTGGTTTGTTTTTAACTGTGTAATACAGTTAATTATTCCAAATGTTAGAGTTCCTTATTTTCATACCAAAACTTGCACTACTGTTAAAAAATATTGTGCCGCTGCCCGGTGTAATTCAAATGTACCGCCGTGCGCAGCACAGACACACAGCTGCTGCCCAGCGCAGCACCGGAAATGGAACTGCTGGGAGAAAAACTGACTATCAGAGATGTGACGTTATCTTTGATAATATTTCGTCTCCTCATTTTTCGTCAACGAAAGTAAAGAGAGATTTTGGCATAGTTTTTATTTAGAAAACTACATTTTCGTCTCGTCACTTTTCTTCAACGATATTACATGATGATTTCGTTACAGTTATTGTTTACTGCCGTCGGTGCCGTCTCGTCATCGTCTCGTTTTCGTCATGGAAAAAAAGGTCATAGATTTAGTCAACGAAATGAACACTACAGCGGATGACCAAGAAACGAGTGACTTGCTCAATTCATTTGTGAGGGATTTGTGAAGAACATGTCAACAGCTGCACTACTGGTGTTTGTATACCAGCCATTGAGGGCGGACACGTTCACTACCACTTAAGTTTCAAATAATTGCGTTAATTACTTATTGTAAGGCATTTGAACATTCTTTTGTGTCACATGTTCATTATTAAGTTGATGTATAACTGTATAGTATCTTAATTATTTAAAATATAAGGTGACTAAAAATGGCAACCACTTTTAAAAGTTAGCGTTGAGCCCTGACTTCATCAAGTAGACAATTGCAGAATACACTGTAGCTATGTACACATGTATAGAAGCATGTGATCCTGATATTGTAGCTCAAGCGGGTGACAAGCGATTATTATCATTCTTAAGTTTTCAGAATTTGAGATTTTGCGAAAAAGTGAGAATTTTGAGAAAAAAAGTCAGAATTTTGAGATTTTTATGAAAAAGTCAGAATTAAAGGTCAACATTTTGAGAAAAAAAGTCAGTATTTTCTACATGACATGAGTACCCGCGGTAGCCCCCAGGCTCTGGAAAGACCTGCCCCCCCATGTCAAATTGTCACCCACTCTTGAAGCTTTTAAGTCCCGCCTAAAGACCCACCTCTTTTCCCTCGCTTACGAGTCAGTCTGAGTTACAGTATGTCACTACCTATTTGTATGCTTTTATTGTCTGTCCATAGCCTTTATGTGCCTTGTAATTATGCTTATGTGTGCCTTTTATCTACTCGTGTAATATTATATTTTATTATAATGTTATGTTCATTGTAGTATCTCAGGGTCTTGTTCTCGAGTGAGGGAACAATGGAGCGTGAGATGGGCCGGAGAATCGGAGCAGCGGGAGCGGTACTGCAGTCGCTTTACCGCACCGCCAGAAGGCAAAGCTCTCTGTCTACCGGGCCATTTTCGTTCCTACCCTCACCTATGGTCATGAAGGATGGGTCATGACCGAAAGAACGAGATCGCGGATACAAGCGGCCGAGATGGGTTTTCTCCGCAGGGTGGCTGGTGTCTCCCTTAGGGATAAGGTGAGAAGTTCGGTCATCAGGGAGGGACTCGGAGTTGAGCCGCTCCTCCTTCGCGTCGAAAGGAGCCAGTTGAGGTGGTTCGGGCACCTAGTTAGGATGCCACCTGGGCGCCTCCCTAGGGAAGTGTTCCAGGCACGTCCAGCTGGGAAGAGACCAAGGGGTAGACCTAGGACCAGGTGGAGGGATTATATCTCTTCGCTGGCCTGGGAGCGCCTTGGGACCCCCTAGTCAGAGCTGGTTGATGTGGGGAAAGGAACGTTTGGGGCTCTCTGCTGGAACTGCTACCCCCAAGACCCGACCACGGATAAGCGGGAGAAGATGGATGGATGTTCATTGTTAAGCACTGAAAATGTGCTATATAAAAAAAGTGGATTGGATACAAGACCCGGCATTCCTCCATCTTGTGACTGTGTAACTCCCTCTCTTGGATATCAGCATGTGAAGGACACTGTTCAGGAACTAGTTGATGCTCTGTATGTGATGACTACTTCCATTCTGGAGAGGATCACAGATACATGGATCCTGAGATTGAAGCTCAAGCCGAGGACCAGGGAGATGTTTCTAACAGAGAGTAATGTGAACAGATCGTAGTTTCTCTACCTTCAAAACGGCTGCGCTCCACCTCAGGTTCTTCCTCTGGCTCTGAACGACCCCCTCGTCTTCGGGGTTTTTGTCCCACATGGAGGAAGAACACTCCTCATAGAAGTGATGAAGATAGGAACGAACACCAAACTGAAGACAGCTAGAACTGGCCTGAGAGGAGAGGAATAAAAGGGCCTCTTTAAAATACACAACGGTTCCTAATTACACGGGAGAACAAGACATCTTGGATCAATGTGACATTTAAAGACAGATAGTTAACAAATTAACATTTCACATTTATATCCAATCTAATATTTAATATTCCATTCCTCTCATACTTATGTATATATAATATCCTGCTTTATATTTTTGTTACTGTAAACTGTTACTACTTTTTTCAATGTCATTTTATTTCGATTGAGATGGAATGTTTATTTCTAGTCTTTTAATTTTTATTCTATAACACATAGGTGTGAGCAAGCTCTCTGATTGGTCAATAGGCGTGTTTGATTCCACGATCAAAGAACGGTCAAATAGAACGTGCCTTTTCACAACAAGTCAGTATCCCTCCGCGTCTGAGAAAAACGGTATACCCTTGGCCAGAAAAGCAAACTGCTTGCAGTACAGGCGTACGGACCTCGGCGCAAGCGCCTCGGTCCTGCCGCAGTACTGTCGTACCAATAATGACGTTAAAGAACGGCCTCTCGTGTATGATTGCTTAAATGTACAATGCCATGTCTTTTTGCTGCAACGTGAACATTTACCAAATTGGGATCAATAAAGTACTTCTGATCTTATCTTAGTGCATATGGGGTATCAATAAACAACTCATTGTGTACCGACAGTAACCACTAATGAATCTGTAAGAACAAATACAACAAGGACAAAAGGTTAACAGATAACGTGGTAACATTTTGTGTTTGAGGTGTTTTTAACTTCATCACAGTTTTTAATTATTGAGCCTACCCTATTATTATTATTTGTTTACAGCACTTTTATTTGTATATCTTGAGCAATTCTGGGTGTTACATTTTTTCTGTTGACTGTTTTGGTCCCTCTAAGTTATTGTGCTTGATTTTGTTTAGTAAGTATCATTAACCGTTCTCATTGAAATCGCGTCACAGCATGAAGCCAAGCTTAGACTCTTCGACTTAAATGGGAATTGAGCCGCCACTCCAAGTACTAATATTACCTGGTAACAAGTTATATAAAAAGGGGACAGTGGGGCGTGATGAGTGTTAAAATTGGTTAATATCACTATAGGCGTGTGGCGCAGTGGGTTGTGCGTTGGTGTTGGGATCAGGGGAGCACAGGTTCAAACCCCACTGCAGTCAGCATGTCGTTGTGTCGCTGAGACACTTCGCCCCAAAGTGCTCCTGTGGGGATTGCCCACAGTATTGAGTATGAAAGTCGCTTTGGATAAAAGCGTCTAACATGTGACATGTAATGCAGTGTTTCTCAAACTTTTTCATACCAAGGACCACTTAACTCCACAAATATCCCAAATCACATCGTTTTTCTAGAACAGATTACAAATCGCCTATAAATGGTACAAACAAGTGGCAACATGTGTGACGAAGGTGTTGCCCTGGGCTATATCATGCAATAGAAAGTGAAACTTAAGCTCGCTCCATTGCGGAGATATTCCCGCGAGAGTGCGGAAAACTTAAATGTATTTATTTATTTCAAATGTGACATTTTACCAATATACTCACGGACAACTAGGGGGCGATCACGTACCACCAGTGGTGTTATAAGATAGCAAAATCAATCAAATGTAGGTAAACATATGCTTGATACTTGAATATGCTTTCAGAAAACAAATAACAGACTAGACCACAGCTTTTCATAGGGTTTTATATATTTGATTGGGCTTTTTTTTTGTAAATAAGGTTTTGTTAGAGAATGTTTTCAACTTTAATTGACTGCATTTATTTGAAAAGTGGGCTTATTAACACATGAATGTATGTAACTGCTGTGTAATATATCTTTACATATATATTTAAGAAGTACAGTATAAAAAAGCACGTGTTTCAGGTGTGGGCCATATTCCATTATACTTTTAGAATTAGCTGAGAGCAAAATGGACAACGGGCCGCAGTTTGGACACCCCTACTGTATCTGCTCTGAAAACATTTCCAGGATTGGTTTTTGAATGTTATTTTTATTGATGTGTTTGACATGACGTCTGATTTTGGTGCCTTTCCCACAGGATCACCATCGAATAAGAAATATAAATAAATAAGTAAGTAAGTGATTATCACCAGGACAAAGACATGGAAATCTGGCAAAAAGCTCCATTAAGGTAAATCCAAGGTGTGCTGTTACATTTTCTATTGTGTCGCATGAGGAGCACACACACACACACACGCACACGCACGCGCACGCGCACGCGCACGCGCACGCGCACACGCACACGCACACGCACACACACACACACACACACACACACACACACACACACACACACACACACACACACACACACACACACACACACACACGCACACACACACACACACACAATGAGTGATGTGTGTGTGTCGAGCTGGGCTGTAAAACAAACACTGTTTATCTGCAGAATATGGATTCCTCTCAATAAAAACCTCCATCGCTCCTCACGCTGGTTGTAAATCCTGCCCTGTGTCGTGAGGTTCCCCCGTTATTGTTGTTGTTGTTATTGTTATATAGCGTGTGACAGATTGAAGGCCCTGAAGTGGCTCTATTTCCTCACACAGAAGAATTCTCCCTCACATGTTGTGTTTCTCCAGAGGAGGTTTGATGGATTCCTTTCATTCTCTGCCTTCAAACGCTTTCTCTTATTGGCTGAACCCAGTGTGTACCTTTACGATTATATACATATATAAATATATAATATATATCAAATGATGTATTATATTACATTATTGCCTCTGCATTGGATCATTATCGGATAGGGTAATAACTTCATAATTAACTACGTCTGAAAGCAGAAGTCTAGGGCAAATAACTGCAAGTCTCTTCAGTGAGCTTATCACAAAATGAGATGCATTGTGGGACATGTAGTTTATGCGGCATGTAACCGTATAATATAATAATTATTCTTTGCAAGCTCACATCCCTGATCTAAGATGATAATAATAATAATAATACACGTTATTTGTAAAGCACCTTTCGCTCAAAGCAGCCCAACGTGTTTACAGAACAAGAAGAAAACATAACAACAATATTTAAATACAGAACAAGATAAAGCTACAGTCAGTTTAACCTCACTGCGGTTTCAAGCACAACTCTGACAAAGTAAATCAGCAAAGAAGAACTTCCTGCTCAGGTTTTTAATCTAATTTTACTGCCAAAAACTCTAACGTGACAGGATGAGATGTGAACAAACTCTCACACTTTTAGGGGGATATGCCTTGTCTTTTTATGCTGCAGCAACGCAAACATTTCAAATTGCCTGCCTGCCTGCCTGCCTGCCTGCCTGCCTGCCTGCCTGCCTGCCTGCCTGCCTGCCTGCCTGCCTGCCTGCCTGCCTGCCTGCCTGCCTGCCTGCCTGCCTGCCTGCCTGCCTGCCTGCCTGCCTGCCTGCCTGCCTGCCTGCCTGCCTGCCTGCCTGCCTGCCTGCCTGCCTGCCTGCCTGCCTGCCTGCCTGCCTGCCTGCCTGCCTGCCTGCAAAGTGAAATCAATGTGATTTGTGTGTGTTTTTCTTCTTACTGAAGGAGCTGACCTTCGGGTTGTTTTCATGGTGAATGTCAACGCAATTAGAGGTTTGAATTCACAGGAAAACGAGGAGAGTCCATAACTTACATATTTCAAATGGAGACTTTAGGTCATTCTGTGGCGCACTGATTAGAGAGAGTCCTTTACTGTTACATTTAGACACATATGATAAATGTATAACATACAACACATTGTTAAATATCAAACAAGTGGTTTCCCAACACTTGTGGCTTGTTAGCCTTCGTAATTAAGCAGTGCCTTGTGGCTTCTCGTAGCCGTTAGCATCTAAACTCAGAGATATTTTCCCTTTAAGATGCGCACAGGACTTAACTTCGTTGCTTGAGCCCGAAAAAGACCAGTCTTACACACTTAAAAAGACAAGGTTCATTTTAATAATGTATATTTAAAGCAATTTGTGTAACAGAACCATTATTATCTACCGTGATACTCATCGTATGACCCCTCAAATCATGTAATTTAGACTAAAAAAACCCACATAAGAATATATCAGGAAAATACTGTGTGTATTATACAGAACAATGACAGTCATCTTAATGCAAAGCAAACTCTTTAGTTTAGATCTTTGACTTTTGACTTAAAGTTACATTTGCTGATAATACTTTGCTGTACTTTTAACTTAAAGTAGTATTGAAAATGGACTTTTACTCAACTAAATACCTTCACACGATGGTATTAATAAATGTATTTCAGTCAAGTATCTCAGAACTTGAAGCTGTTAAATATGCATTATGCTTATACACTCATATGTGGAGAATTGACAGGTGACTGACAATATACTTTGTGCTCGAAATGTTGGATTAAATGTGAAACTCATTGGTTTAATGAGATTAATTCAGATTTTAAAGGACTTAGATATGGTTTTATGATCGTTTTAATGCACTTAGTCTAAGCTTTGAGTCCCATAAAGTCTCTTAAACCAGAGAGCTGTCCATGGAGTCTGCCCCAACTTTCACTTTGATGCACAAGCAAGTTAACTTCACATAGATGTCATGTTTTATATAAAAAGGCTAAATCAACCTGTTTGTTGATCCTGAAAAAGCCCGGAAATGCAACAGGCTTTCTCCACTCTACTTTATCCAGACCCCATTTGCTTCCATATACTAAAACATATCGCATTTTGATCACGTCCTTCCACAACAATTAAAAATCTCTGTTTAATTTCCCCCTCACAGATGAACTAACAAGTGAGTCATCGCGGCCATGCAGCCTCGCGCGCTTTATCTACACGGTTCACTTGATCTGTTTCCCTTTTCCTGACTAAAAACACCCCCTTTGTATCACTTAAACCCACGGAGCTTTCACACTGACTCTGTCTTACCCCTTGGCCGGAGTTCTGGCTCTTTTCACCGGGGATCTATGTGCTGTCGGACCGGTGATCTCCAGCTCTGATGGGAATCAACCGGAGACACACTGAGCATGCGCGGAAAAAAGACCTGTCGATAAGACATGAC